AAAAAAAAAAAAAAAAAAAAAAAAAAAAAAAACATTTTCTTGCCACAAAGCAACCTTCAAAGTTATGGTTCAATCTGAAAAACTTGATGCACAATCCTAACTTATAAGCACGCTTTTCCCTTTGATCTAATATTTTATACGTAGAACGCCAGCTGTTAAAGTAATTTCTCTTAAAAAGTATGCACGGTCCACTCATTCTTTTCTTTGACAGTTTCACTATTTGATATGTATTCTGCTTCTTCGCTGACCATCCCAATTTATTCAACAGACTCTCTCATTCCTCTCTTTTGCTATAATTCTGTGTAGCGCTCCTTCTCGCGCACTTCTTTGCCTCAATTATTTGATACAGCAATCTCATCAGTTTCTCTAAATTCAATTCCTCTCCCTTTCCCAAGTTTGTCCGTGCTATTATAAGAGAAATATCTTCAAAAAACCTATCTTGTAAAATTGTCGTCACGGCCGTTCGGCCAACAGTTCGCTCCAAACCTCTGGCCTTTTGCAAGGTTCTATCAATTTTTTCTACCGTTGCTCATAAGCTGCTAACTTCACCTTTGGCATTTTAAATACTTCGCAGTTGTTGGCACATTTCTTATTGTCTTAGCTGCACCTTTTCAAACCTTTCTATTAAAATACCTACCACCTTCTGGTAGACATTTTCCATCCGCGTAAGGTATTTGATGGCCAGCTTTGCCCTGCTCTGTAACAATGACACCAACATGCTATAGTCATCAAAGACGAGTATAGATTTCTTCTTATGCACAGTGCTTGAGTAAAAGTCAAAAAAAATTGCTCTATTCATGGGACTTTCGTTAAATCTCGGCACCTCTATCTCCTGTAATTTCAACCTTAACTGACCTCCCTCAAGTTGGTGGAGTCATTACCTCTATTCAATTCACGTATAATTCCAGCACCATATCTTCTTAAAATATCAAGACTTTCTCGGCAATACTAGGGCCTTTACTTCGCTTAGCTCTGCTGCGCCGCCGCTGCTGTCCCCTTCTCATTGCCGCTATCCCCTTCCCTTTGCTGCTGTCCCCTTCCCCTTTGACGCTGTCCTCTTCACTGTCTCCTTCCTCAACTTTCCCTTCAAAAACCAGCTGACCAATCAGCGCGCTGGGGCCGTCAATCGACAAGAGTGCCAATTTTTTATTGTTAACAGTATAAAAATACTGACAAACAATGCAATTATTCTTCGAATTTTACCAGCTTTTGTTGCACCTACAAGTATGACGATCTATCATTCAAGTATAGCTTTTGAAACTGTTAAGGATCACTTTTTTGGTGATAATCCTCTGAAAAAACTTATTTCACTATTACCTTCAAATATCATTCTTTTTCATTTCCAAATGTTCAACAAATAAAAGCCAAGCTTCAAAAAAATTCATTCTTTCAATAGATTAAAAAGTTATATATATTGCGAGAAAAACAGAAAAAGTGAAGAAATAAAAGTAAAGCACAATTGAAAATTTTGTGGTGAAGAGGAAAAAACGATTAGGGCTAACTTCCTCTACGACACTGTTTGAAGTGACGGGAACACATGATAAGTATAAGAGTTTGATTAGCTTATCAACATACGAAATCGTAATTTTGGCAGAATAACTACAAAAAATAAACCCCTAACCAGCACCAGTTGAAATACACACTGTTGGTATTGTTAATCTATATTTTTAGGTTTCTGTCTGTTGGAACCCATAGTCGACTCTAGTGATAAATAGAAGATACCAGCTCGCAATAAAATAGGAAATGCCACTTCATAAGGAGGAGTATCATCTGCTTTCATGTGTCTTTACCAATGTATTATTTTAGACGGTATTACACAAGCTCTGTTTGAGTGTTCTTGTATCAAGAAAAAACTTGCTGCGATTGTAAACTATCTGCAGAAAAATTGTATATGATCAAAGTGCTGAGGTTACTGACTGTTCTTCAAAGGACATGAGAAAAACCTTTTTAAGAAGAGGATATCAAATCAAAGAGAGAAAAAATAATGCCAGCTAAAGGCAGTAAACGAAATAGAACGTGATATTTCTGCTAACAGAGAACTTTACTGCATTATTCATTATCTGTTTAGAGCATTGAAGCCGTTGAGACGCTAAACTTTTGTAGAACAGAGTTACAACATTATACTGTACTTGCAACCGATCTGTAATTTTTGGAACTGTTTTTAGGAAATGCAGGTATATAATAAATTTTATTAGTAAGTTTTTTGGAAGAAGTCAAATAATTTTTGGCTTTTTTAAATGCTTATTTCTTTTGTTTCTTCAAGAAAAAATGTCAAGCAGCATTGTCGTCAGTAATCTTCGGAATTTGCAGCTAAAATGATTTGCCTCTCCAACCTCAACCTTCTTTTTTTCTTTTGATATTAAAATAAATTATTTAGATTTGATTTAAATTTTTGATAGATTTTTTTGCCAGCACTACCTTTTTAAAATAATAGAGTGCTTTATCAAATAAATATTGTTATACGCTTCAGTAGTTACAGTATTTAGCAGGCTACAAAAAAAAAGTTATTGAAGTTTCAATTGAACTGTTTCTCGCCTAATTTTACAAGTAGATCGTACTATAAAGTATTTAAGAAGAAAGATCTCAAAGTTACAAAGTTACTGCTCAAAAAAAGCTTCACTTCATTCTTGCTTTTCTTAAAAAATTTACTTACAATTAATGTTTTGAAAATAATTCGACTTTTGGCAACTATTGCTTGCTTAATTTCACTGCTGTTTAAAAAATCATTCGGTATAGACGAAGGTTTAAGTTTAGAAGTCTTTTCTTATCAAATATTAGATAACGTATGTTTAATACAACATAGCTTTTTTCAGGCGGTTAAAAAACAGTTGACATTTCGATTTAAATAAAAATTGTGTAGTGTTTGATTCTAGGAAAAAAAATGGACACTGAGTAGGTGTTGCCTGTCACTTACAAATTTTGCAATCTAATAATAACAGTTTTATGCAACATTCCTTAGACCTTTTTAAATGCCTCTAAAAAAATTCCTGCGCAAAATGACGATTCGGAATCAGGTAATACAGATAGTACAGAAATAAAGATAAAAAAAATTACATAAAAGTTAGCAAAAAGAGCAAAAACATTCTTAACTCAAAAAAGCTCTAAATAGATAATTTCAAATATTGTTAAAAAAAGCATAATAATTTAAATGCAAAGTTACACCTTATTTATTTTACTCTCTAGAGTTTAAGTAAACTAATTATTGTTTTTTTTAACTTCTAATTCACCTAAAAAATGCCTCAAAAGCGAAAAATACTCAAAAAACGTTTTTCAACTTCTGACAATTTTTAACAAAATAATAGTTAATAATCTTCTTTTACTTTCATAATTTTCATCTTTTTAAAAGATTTTTACATTTTTTCTGATACCAAACTTTCTCAGGAATTGAATAATAATTTATCAAACGAATGAGCTAGCAGTTACAAAAACATAACCGCAAAAAAATAGCAGAGCTTTCTAAATATTCCTAACCTTGAAGAACAGCAATGTTTAGTTTAAGCCTTTCGGCTTCATCTTCAATTATTAATGCTCGTTGAAGCCTGTCAAACTGCAGCCTCAAAAACCAAAAAATATTCTTATTTAGCCGTGAACTTTTCTGCTGAATAGCACATTTATTTCTTAAACCAACTGGTTGCGGTAGGGAAAAGCAATACGTACTGTCAACTATCTCTCAATGCACTGTGACTATTTTGCTCACAGATTAGTTTCTGATTATGTCTAAAAGTTTCTAACTTATTTTTCTTTTTTTAAAGAGCATTTTTGAAGAAATAATCGCATTAAAGCTTTACAACAGTACTGCCACGGTGAAACACTGAGAACAACCGACGCTGTCAGTATGTACAGATTGCCACCTCGATAAGAACAAAA